TCTATAGTCTAGTCTATAGTCTAGTCTATAGTCTAGTCTATAGTCTAGTCTATAGTCTAGTCTATAGTCTAGTCTATAGTCTAGTCTATAGTCTAGTCTATAGTCTAGTCTATAGTCTAGTCTATAGTCTAGTCTATAGTCTAGTCTATAGTCTAGTCTATAGTCTAGTCTATAGTCTAGTCTATAGTCTAGTCTATAGTCTAGTCTATAGTCTAGTCTATAGTCTAGTCTATAGTCTAGTCTATAGTCTAGTCTATAGTCTAGTCTATAGTCTAGTCTATAGTCTAGTCTATAGTCTAGTCTATAGTCTAGTCTATAGTCTAGTCTATAGTCTAGTCTAGTCTAGTCTATAGTCTAGTCTATAGTCTAGTCTATAGTCTAGTCTATAGTCTAGTCTATAGTCTAGTCTATAGTCTAGTCTATAGTCTAGTCTATAGTCTAGTCTATAGTCTAGTCTATAGTCTAGTCTATAGTCTAGTCTATAGTCTAGTCTATAGTCTAGTCTATAGTCTAGTCTATAGTCTAGTCTATAGTCTAGTCTATAGTCTAGTCTATAGTCTAGTCTATAGTCTAGTCTATAGTCTAGTCTATAGTCTAGTCTATAGTCTAGTCTATAGTCTAGTCTATAGTCTAGTCTATAGTCTAGTCTATAGTCTAGTCTATAGTCTAGTCTATAGTCTAGTCTATAGTCTAGTCTATAGTCTAGTCTATAGTCTAGTCTATAGTCTAGTCTATAGTCTAGTCTATAGTCTAGTCTATAGTCTAGTCTATAGTCTAGTCTATAGTCTAGTCTATAGTCTAGTCTATAGTCTAGTCTATAGTCTAGTCTATAGTCTAGTCTATAGTCTAGTCTATAGTCTAGTCTATAGTCTAGTCTATAGTCTAGTCTATAGTCTAGTCTATAGGCTAGTCTATAGTCTAGTCTATAGTCTAGTCTATAGTCTAGTCTATAGTCTAGTCTATAGTCTATTCTACAGTCTAGTCTATAGTCCAGCCTTTAGTCTATAATAGAGTAGACTAGCTGCTTAACTGTGTGCAAATAAATAGGAAGCATATTTTCATAGGATTCGTGCCACTGTATACCACTTCTGTAATACGCATTTAACATTAGAAATACGTATGTATGCATGTGCAGCATAAAAACTGAAAATTCTGTAAAACTCAACATTCTCCTTTGTAAACAAACCAAAGAGTATTTCCTGGTTTATGCTTTCATCTTTAATTCCAATATTGTACATCAACGTAAGCGTACGACGTACGTACTTATGATCATCATGATCATGCAACGGCAAATCATAGACAACGCAACTACTGACAAGTTTTAGTTTGTCTTGTTCTATTACCAATAACATTTTTAACTGATTTTTTGTTAATTTTTTAAATAAATTCAACATGTTTCTTTAATTTAAGCGGTTCTTCTTTAAAAGTTTTAAAAAAATAATTGTTTAAATATATAGATAAAAGTGTGCGTGTTGTATACACTAAAATAAAAATTGATCTTCAATCTTAGAAAGAAACAAATACCGTTCAAAGAATTCAAATATTGCACACATGTCATAATTATTTGCTACTAGCTGCTGTTTGTTGCATGCAGCCAATGAGCAAACGAGCCAAGCTGTCAAAGGCAGGCGTACAAAGATTTGTGAAAAAAAGTCATATAGAAAACATGTTTGCGATCAAAGAAAATCTTTATAGAAAAAATAAATGTACAACAGAGTTTTTTTTCTGTTGCGCCCTGCGCTTAAAGTTTTCTGTTATAGTTAGCAGTTGTTTGTTTTTGTTTTTTTGCTGAAAGTAGCTGCATTCATTAGTTTAACAGCTGTGGCATGTTGCCAATAATGTATGTCAGCAATAGAACTGCAAAAATAACAAAAACAAAAACATCGACAGCGGCATCGACATTAGTTACAATAACAAGAGTGAAAGAACAATACACAACAATTTAACATTTTCAAATCGTGGCATTTGTGTAATGCACTCTGTATTGTTTTTATTCAATTATTTGATTGCAACTAAAGACTAAACACGAAGAAAATTTTAGCCTAAATAGGATCGATATTGTCTGCAGTTGGAGTAGTAAAAAGTAGTATTTACTGACTGTTGAAAGGCGAAGATGGTTATTAGTTTAGAAAGACTTGTACTTACATAACAAACTTACTTTTTTATGATTACTACATACAGCCTGCATTACTTTTAAGTACTCTTTTTATGACTTACATATAATCGTATATGTAAGTACTTTAACACAAAACATTTAGAATTCTGCTTTAAAATTGAGTTTGCAAATTGAAATAGGAAAATCTAAACTTGAGCTTATGATTCTTGTAAATTCGTTATTTTATTAATTGAGAAACAATTTCCTCCGTGTATCCACTTTAAATTACACGTTAAATTGCGTGCACCTACTTTTAGCTCATTATTTCTAAAATGTGTGTAATGTTTGCGCCTCTTGGTTTTTTTTTTCGACAGAAAATTACATTGTTAAATGCTTGTATTTACAAAATAATTTTTACAAAAAACCTGTATTTTGTCACTATTTTAATTAAGTGGTTATTGTTTTTTTTTTTTGCTTATTTGTTTGTTTTTTTACGGATTTTTTAAACAATTACGCTTTTTAGCATAATTTAAGGTGTATTTCAGAGCTATAAATTACCATAATTGTGGTCTATGTTTTAAGTGTTGGCGTTTGAGGTGATAATACATTAAGTTCTATAAATTGCATTATATTTAATAATTTTGTTGGGTATGTGTAATATGCGGTTTTAGTTAGACATAAGATATTTCTTGATCCTTGGCGGGGTTTTAACCACTCAAATTACTAGGTTATTCAACCTAGGTTTGTAGAGAGAGTTTTGCAATTAAGTTGTTTATACCTTCCCAGCAAAATCTAGGTAATGACTTTCAATTGTAATGACTTACCTAACAACATACTTTTCAATCACAACTACATATCGTCTGGATTACGTAGACGTAGTCTAATAAGGCCTTACTAATAATGTGTCATATAAATACTTTCTGATTCATTTTGTCATCTTGCCAGTGAAGATATAGAAGCTGCATACATATGTTTCTTTATGCGATTTACAATGAACTACTTTTTCTAATTACTTGCCTCCAATGACATCACCGTGTTAAAATTACTGACTTAAACTGATCTTGTGTAAGTAAATTTTAGCATTTTAGTCCCTTACATGGTAATGAAAGTTTTTACTAGGTTTATATCGGAAATTGAAGCTCCGAATAGAGTAATATTAAAAAGATTGATGTATTTATTGGGTAAAAATCTCAAATAACCTCAAAAAGAGGAGTACTCCTCTTATGACTACCCCGCAAAAATTGAGACTAATCCGCACACTTGTCTAAAGAGTACTCTTTAAAGGACTAGAACTAATCCATAGGTCAAAACGGAATCTCTTTGACTTGACCGTTCGCGCGCACGTTAACCAAGGACTAATCTAAATATTTAGGAAAAACATATTCCATTTAACAATGTGAGGACCAAGTAATCCACTTATTCATTACACCAAACTAATCCCAAAACAAAATTAAATACTAAAATTATGTTAGTATACGATCCGCAATATGATTCTATGTAACTAAACGGATCATGCACAGGGAAGTAGTATTGGTATTACACAAATGAATCATGTTCCGCAATAGTTTCTGAAGGGTTATTACGGGGTCGTTGTAGAAAATTAGTCATTTTGTAAAATTGCTATAACGAATGTCGGAAATCACCGTAATCTGAATTGAAATCGAAAAACTTATCACTTGAGAGTACAAATAGAACCTTACGGCTGCGGCGACGATCTTAGAGTACAAATACGTGTTGGCGCCGACTACTCTGCATGCGGAAACCCAACTGAAGACGATTATTTTATTTAACTTTTCTATACACTAAACTAGTTATCGGTTTGATCGTCTTTAAGGGATGACGGCGAGATTGCATTAGGTGTTCTTTAACACATTAATGTAGAAAACTAAACCGCTGGACTTTTTATGGATATGACTTCACCACACACTTTATTTTGAAGTATATTGATCATTTTTGACCGAAAATAGAAAAAGTGTTTTTTTGACATCAAATTCTAAAAAATAACTTTTTTTCTTTTGAAATAACCATTTACTGTAGCTGTGAACTCAAAGTTACGCTCTAAATAGAGAAAAATTAAAAAAAATCTGTGGACACCGGTGTCCCGTATACGGGACAAAAAAGCTCGGGTATTAGCTGTAAAGTTTAAAAATTACGATGGAAATTATAGCGTAAGAGAGAGGGAGAGAGAAAAGATTTCGGTCCGATAGTCATATCAACAACCAAAACTGTAAAAAGGAACTTGTTAGAAGAGCCTAAAGTAATTTGCATTGTCAGCAAAAACTTACATTTAAAACACGGGGATGACATTAGAGGCAAGTATTTACCACGCTCTCTTACAAACAGAAACTTACCTAACACCCTACTAAGCCTGCAAATAGGGAGTTAAGTAAATAAAATTGTCTACACGGATACGACCACTGCTTAGTTTACTAGACTACTTCTAAATAATACAAGGGGTATGTAGTTGTCATTGATAAGTAAGTTGTTGAGTAAGTACAAGTCATTACCATGTTTATACTGGGAATTAGTTGAGTTTTAATAAAAAATGTAAAATTTGCAAAATAAAAATGTTTGATTTGGCCAAACATTTGACTCATTTATTTAATTTCCACTTAAATTTTGTTAGAATTTCAACTTTAAAACAACCTATTACATTAGGATAACAAACTGACAGCTGTAATGTGACAGGAAACAAACATTTATTCATTTAAAACAAATACATTACCAGTAAATGTATTTACAGCAAGAAAATTGAGGTTAACATGTAAAATAAACAAAAAACAAAAAACCGCAACTATACTAACACACATGTAACCTTAATACTACTAACACAAACAAAAAATGTAAAAAGAAATAATTAATGAAACCAGTGAACAACTGACTCACTGAACTTTTTTTTACTTACTTGTAATGTAACGGCAACCAACCATCGAATAACTGTAGTTTACGATCTGTAAATTTGCCTTGATCCTCGCCGAATATATCATTATCGGGCGGTATATCACCAACGGGAGCAGGTTTATTATCATATTTTGATTTGGGCAGGGGCATGCCCAACATACTGGCTGTCGCAATGGGACTAATATTTTGTGGTTGTGATTGTATAGAATTTTGTACATTATGGCCGTTTGTGCAACTGAAAAATAAAGTGAAAAAGAGAAAAGGATATCGGTTAACTATTTTAGCTTTTTGGTTTCAAACACTCCTTAAATATAGTTTACACCTGTAACTAAAAGTGAAAGTTTGAGATTTAAACACTCCTTTAGAAAAATGAAATAAAGATGGCAGGTAAAAATTAAAATTGATTTCCATTTCCGTTAAGTTTTGATTTTTTTGACCAAGGTTGTTTGTTGTATAACAAAAAATGCTTTTAAAATAAATGATTTATATCAGAAAACACTAAAAAAGGTCATTTCTCTTTTTTTGACACAAAAAACCAGCCTTTTATTTTTTTCCACTGAGTCATAATTTATTTAAAGACTGAAAGTAACCAAAACTAAAAAAGTAAAACTTACCTTTGTGTCATAGTGTTGACTGTCACGAAATACGTTATCAATATGGTAAATATTATGGCCAAAATTGTTATAATCGCTGTAAATGTGGCACAAGTTTTTGATACAAATATACCCGATGGTCTGCCATTAAACACATATTTTTGGCCATTTTTCGTTTTAAGTTGTCCTCCTGCAAATATATCAAAATTTTAAAAATTATTAAAAAAAACTGTTGTAGACAATTTTATTGAAATTTAAATTAATTTTGTGCGTGCGTATGCACATTTAAAAATATAATTGAGAAGACCATCATTTATAATTTAAATCAATTGATGTTGGGTGTTAAATTCAATCATAATATGTTTTTTTTTACAACTTGTGAGACTGGTCTTGTCAGTGATAGTGTGCCTTTTCTAATTGCTTTCATATTAGTATAAATTATTTCTAGGAATTTTCTAGTGCTATTTTCTAATTATTGCAAATATCTTTTATTTAAACAAGTTTCTTTATACCCTACACCACTTTAGTGGGGAGGGTATATTGGATTTGTGCTGATGTTTGTAACATACAAAAATATTCGTCCACCTTAAAGTATACCAATCGGCTTAGAATCGTTTTCTGAGTCGATTAAGCTATGTCCGTCCGTCCGTCCGTCCGTCTGGCTGGCTGTCCATGTAAACCTTGTGCGCAAGGTACAGGTCGCAATTTTCAAGATAATTGGATGAAATTTGGCACGCACGTTTTATTTGACCCAAGGACGAAGCCTATTGAAAATGGTTAAAATCGGTCCATTATTTCACCTAGCCCCCATACAACAGAACCCCCCGAAAAGGGCTTCTGAGCTCATAATTATGTTATATATGCAGATATATCGATAAAATACGGCACAACTAAGTTTTATAGAAGTCTTGATGACTCTGCCAAATTTCACAAAGATCGGGCCCCATTTGACCCTAGCTCCCATACAAAGTCCCCTTCAGAAAATTACTTGAATGTCCCAATTAACTTATAAACACCAATATCGCGATGAAATTCAGCACAATAAAATATTATGTAAATATAAATATATTCACAAAATTTTATCGGGCTTGGTCCATATTTGCCCCTAGCCCCCATATAAAGCCTCTTTCAGAAAATTAGTTTTTCATCCATAAATTGCTTAAATGTATCGGAACAAGGGAATATTGAAAATAAATGCTTTACTATGAAAAATAAATCACATTTAATATTCATAACTGGTGTAGGGTATCATATGGTCGGCCTCGCCCGACTATACTTTTTTACTTGTTTTTTATTGATATTGTAACAATTTTAATGTTATTATTAAATTTCATTTTGAAATTGTATATTAATGAAGAATGACATTAATGGAATACAATTGCTAGACGAGCTTTTGGTCAAATAGTTATTGCTACTATTGTTGGTTAACGGCATTTTTATTGAAATGAACTAAAGAGGAATAGTTTCGTCTAAAAGGAGTCATTTAGTTTGATTTTAAATTTTTATCTAATTTATCAATTTATAAAAGTATATCAATTACATACATATATGTATATACCCAAAATATGAAGGCAAAATAATGAGCCGCCTATCCTATCCTAATCGATAGTCCAGTCTATAGTCTAGTCTATAGTCTAGTCTATAGTCTAGTCTATAGTCTAGTCTATAGTCTAGTCTATAGTCTAGTCTATAGTCTAGTCTATAGTCTAGTCTATAGTCTAGTCTATAGTCTAGTCTATAGTCTAGTCTATAGTCAAGTCTATAGTCTAGTCTATAGTCTAGTCTATAGTCTAGTCTATAGTCTAGTCTATAGTCTAGTCTATAGTCTAGTCTATAGTCTAGTCTATAGTCTAGTCTATAGTCTAGTCTATAGTCTAGTCTATAGTCTAGTCTATAGTCTAGTCTATAGTCTAGTCTATAGTCTAGTCTATAGTCTAGTCTATAGTCTAGTCTATAGTCTAGTCTATAGTCTAGTCTATAGTCTAGTCTATAGTCTAGTCTATAGTCTAGTCTATAGTCTAGTCTATAGTCTAGTCTATAGTCTAGTCTATAGTCTAGTCTATAGTCTAGTCTATAGTCTAGTCTATAGTCTAGTCTATAGTCTAGTCTATAGTCTAGTCTATAGTCTAGTCTATAGTCTAGTCTATAGTCTAGTCTATAGTCTAGTCTATAGTCTAGTCTATAGTCTAGTCTATAGTCTAGTCTATAGTCTAGTCTATAGTCTAGTCTATAGTCTAGTCTATAGTCTAGTCTATAGTCTAGTCTATAGTCTAGTCTATAGTCTAGTCTATAGTCTAGTCTATAGTCTAGTCTATAGTCTAGTCTATAGTCTAGTCTATAGTCTAGTCTATAGTCTAGTCTATAGTCTAGTCTATAGTCTAGTCTATAGTCTAGTCTATAGTCTAGTCTATAGTCTAGTCTATAGTCTAGTCTATAGTCTAGTCTAGTCTAGTCTATAGTCTAGTCTATAGTCTAGTCTATAGTCTAGTCTATAGTCTAGTCTATAGTCTAGTCTATAGTCTAGTCTATAGTCTAGTCTATAGTCTAGTCTATAGTCTAGTCTATAGTCTAGTCTATAGTCTAGTCTATAGTCTAGTCTATAGTCTAGTCTATAGTCTAGTCTATAGTCTAGTCTATAGTCTAGTCTATAGTCTAGTCTATAGTCTAGTCTATAGTCTAGTCTATAGTCTAGTCTATAGTCTAGTCTATAGTCTAGTCTATAGTCTAGTCTATAGTCTAGTCTATAGTCTAGTCTATAGTCTAGTCTATAGTCTAGTCTATAGTCTAGTCTATAGTCTAGTCTATAGTCTAGTCTAGTCTAGTCTATAGTCTAGTCTATAGTCTAGTCTATAGTCTAGTCTATAGTCTAGTCTATAGTCTAGTCTATAGTCTAGTCTATAGTCTAGTCTATAGTCTAGTCTATAGTCTAGTCTATAGTCTAGTCTATAGTCTAGTCTATAGTCTAGTCTATAGTCTAGTCTATAGTCTAGTCTATAGTCTAGTCTATAGTCTAGTCTATAGTCTAGTCTATAGTCTAGTCTATAGTCTAGTCTATAGTCTAGTCTATAGTCTAGTCTATAGTCTAGTCTATAGTCTAGTCTATAGTCTAGTCTATAGTCTAGTCTATAGTCTAGTCTATAGTCTAGTCTATAGTCTAGTCTATAGTCTAGTCTATAGTCTAGTCTATAGTCTAGTCTATAGTCTAGTCTATAGTCTAGTCTATAGTCTAGTCTATAGTCTAGTCTATAGTCTAGTCTATAGTCTAGTCTATAGTCTAGTCTATAGTCTAGTCTATAGTCTAGTCTATAGTCTAGTCTATAGTCTAGTCTATAGTCTAGTCTATAGTCTAGTCTATAGTCTAGTCTATAGTCTAGTCTATAGTCTAGTCTATAGTCTAGTCTATAGTCTAGTCTATAGTCTAGTCTATAGTCTAGTCTATAGTCTAGTCTATAGTCTAGTCTATAGTCTAGTCTATAGTCTAGTCTATAGTCTAGTCTATAGTCTAGTCTATAGTCTAGTCTATAGTCTAGTCTATAGTCTAGTCTATAGTCTAGTCTATAGTCTAGTCTATAGTCTAGTCTATAGTCTAGTCTATAGTCTAGTCTATAGTCTAGTCTATAGTCTAGTCTATAGTCTAGTCTATAATCTAGTCTATAGTCTAGTCTATAGTCTAGTCTTAGTGGAAATTTCTCTACAATCGGAAGACATTGTTTTATGTTAATAATTATTTTGAAGATCTTTAATATAACCATTTTTTTCTTTCAGAGTCATTTAAGTGAAATAAGGGGTAAGTGACACTTCAAATAAATAATTCAAATGTACAGTTATTTTGTGATTAAAATCCGTTTAAAATGTTAGTGATATAATTGATGTGAAAGAGTTAGATCATTATACATAATTTAACATAATTTGTATGCAATAAAAAAATTCTTTGAAACTATAAAATTTTATGACAATTTTATAGCAATTTAAACTTGTAGAAAATTAAATGAAATAAAGGAAATATAAAAGTAATTGACAAAATATTTTAGAGCATTAAGCAAAATTTTCGAAAAATTTGTAAAAAAATTTTCTTTAAAAGTTTCGAATATTTGTTACTAAGCTGAAAGAAGTTTTCCAGTTTTAAAAACCCACCTTGGTATTTATTTCAATGTTTATGTTTTTCAGCTAAAAGATCATTAAACTCTTTTCAGTAGCATTAGTCACTTTACTTTACTTAATTTTATTTATTTCTTTTTGTTTTTGTATTTTTAGTACTTTATTTTTCTTGAATTTTTATGACCACGACTACTACATACTGACTGGCGGAATCAGTTCCAGAGTACTGTTACTTAAATATTTTGTTTTGTTTATTTTCTATTTTTATAACATTTTGGATTTGGATTTTAGATTTAAATTTCAAAGTTTTGCATGGGCTCTTCCTTGTCTGAATATAAAGGCGGGCGATTGAGTGAGTGTATTGGATAAATTGAGTGTGAGTAATGTTTTGTGTTGGGGCATACATACGTAAGTAGGGTGCCCACGTGCTTGGCATATTTTGATTTACATTACGGAATGTACTATACATTTTGATATTGCTCTATTTTCCAGTTAGGGAACTTACTTTAGTTTTTGTAGTACATTATTTGTAAAGAAGAAAGAGAGTGTGCTGGCGTACTTAGCATTTTTTTTTTTTTTTGGATTGAAATGTATGTATTTTATTTTTGTAATACTTATATAGAATGTACTCTCCAATATGGTGATAATGAACTTTTGTGATCTGTTGAAATAATAAGACCAATGTAGTGAAAAAATAGGTTAATTGCTCTTGCATTAATTTTATGTTTTCTTTTTTGTAGATAAATTTTTTTAAATTTTGGGAAAATTGTTAGAAGATTTTAAAGTAATTTTTGGTAATTGTGAAAAAGTTGAGAGTTTAGATTTCTTTATTTTTATTTAGAAATTTTGGTAATTAAAAATTTAAGACCTTATTCATAACAATTTATCAAAGGTTTATAAGATAAATTTTCATACATATTTTGTTCTATAAACCTTTGATAAATTGCTATGATGTCTTCTTAGTATTTTAAAAATTGCGGTATTAATGAAATTTTTTTAATACAAATGAAAATTTTCATGGTTTTTTTTCGGAAAATCTGAAGAAGTCACTATGTTATTCTTAGGAAAAATGTATAGAATTTCCCTCTCATATAGAGATAACTGCATGAGATCTGTTAAATGTTAGCTCTCTTATGTAGTAGGAGATGTTAAGTGGACAGACATACTGCTGCATTGAATGTTTAGTAAAGCATATGGGGCTGCTAAAGGTCTAATGGTAATACAAGTTTAGCACTAGCTGAGTATCGGATAACAGTTCAGGGCTAGTATTGGAAATGAAAGAGGCCGAGACTATTGATCAATAACTACAATATATTAAATTCATGGTCTATTGAAAGCGGTTCATTTCAGGACATATGTCCTCCACTATATACTCTAGTGTTGGCCCTAAATATTATAATATCTTACTTCTTTTGAATCGATAAGACTGGACTCAAAAACACCATAAAGTTCGGGGATAGTATTAGAAATGAAAGAGACAGAGATGAAATTGATCAATAAATACAATATAGTAAATCCGTGCCGTATTTATTTTAGTTGAAGTCGGTTCAAGATTTAATCCATGGACTGCATTCTTGATAGAATTACGCTGAGGTCCCTTTATAAAGTCATCAAAGCTTCCAAAGCAGTCTGTCGATATCATCAACCAATATATAAGGATATCCGATACCCACCTTAAAGCTTATAAATCTGGTGATAAAACACTTTTAAACATATTCTGGAGATCAGACCATAATAGGATCTATCTGCGAAATTATTAGTGTAGTAAACTTTCAGGTATAGGTCGCACTATAATATCTTGCTTACTTTTGAAACCATAGGACGATTGTTCCCTTCCTTGGATTCAAGAAATTGTGCATGCCAAATTTCATCAAATTATTTTAAAAATTGCGATCTGTAGCTTGCGCACAAACTTCACATGGACATCCAGACAGATGGACGGACATGGCTTAATCGACTTAGAGAATGAATCTAGCCGATTGAAGTACTTTAAGGTCGGTACAGGACCAATATTTTTGTACGTTACAAACATATATACAAACGCATAATACCCTCTCCACTGTAGTGAGCACAAGATTTATATGCGCTGCCAGCCAGACGGACGGTCTTGGCTTAATCGATTCAGAAAGTGAATTTTGCCGATAGAATACTATGAGGGTACAGGACCAATATTTGTACAAACACCTGCATTTTAGTAGTTAATGTCGAGTGTTTTACGAGAACACCTGCCGTGTTGGCCTATTTCATGGTGGTCTTTTTTAACCACTGGATGAGCTTCTGTAACGGCTAACCACCGACTGACTCATTGTGCAATTTAGGTATATATAATTTCCAGTTCAGTATACATGCACTCTGTACTTGAGCTATCTTATCTCTGACCATTGCTGCCCCGTTGATTAACTTCCGAGATGCAAAAACATCACTTCCGCAGATGGGATGGCCTCTGTTGAGTCGATAACAGCACCTAGAGACGTAACCGGTAAACCGATGTAGGCACGAATCCATCAAATAAGCCGAGACTTTGTTCTTACTCACAGTGACACACAATGTGTTAAATCTGGTATGAACAGAGTATAATCTGAACATACCTAGACAAGGAAGGAAAATTCAATGGTATCACTTGTATAAGATACCTTTCATCCTGATTCAGCCGACACACATATAAGGGAAAAACCTACGACAGACTCACTATAGGTATAAGGGTTTAAACCACAGCCACTACGTGGATCCCGAAGAAGCCTCAACCAACCACCAGTCAGGACATGTTCTGCTGGCAACTGGCCACCTGTAATACCAGATTATGTGGTTCTCTAATTTGATCCCATGTCAAATCATTCCAAGGACTAGCCGAGTATTGAAATGACATCACCAGTTTATTGTCCCGGCCGTCCCTAGCATCTCTTTATCCTGGGATTGCAATACACCAAGATGAGAGTCTTTCATAAATGAAAAATTCCCATGGGGTGTATTTTAGTAGTGTAGCGTATAAAAAGTCACGTCCAATATTTGATCACCATCCATATTTTTTGATATTTATGACCAATAAATCACGCCAAAAAGGAATATCAAATAAGACGTGCAAATTTTAGTATTTTGTTTAAATTAAATCATTTTATTTTTTTTTTTATTAATTAAAATTTTAAAATTGCTATTTTAGTAGGTGATATTTATTAGCCATGCCATATGTACAATTAAATTTTCAATATTGTAAATTGTCTATGTTAATAAATTTACCAGTCAACATTAATTTACGTAATAATTTTGATTACGAATTATGGGGGTATTGAATTTATTATTTGTTAATTTAAAAGAAAATGCAAAAAATTTTATATTGTAAACAAAAATAGAATGAAATTTGTTTAGAAAATAATGCGGAAATAAATTAAATAGAAAATAATTCAATTTAAAAAATATTTTGTTTAAATGAATTTCAAATTTAAATGTTAAAATAAACAATATAAAAAAGAAACAACAGGTGGAAAAAGACAGATAATTGAGATTTCTTTTTCAACAGAAAAAATATAAAATTTTGATAAAATTTTGTAATAAAGATTAAGTGTCAAAGACATAAGAAGTTAAAGGGTCTTACAAGGCGGCATATATGAAAAAGAGAAAATTTGAAACTAGAAGTAATTCTGTTTAAAATAATTTATACAAATTTCTATTTGAAGTTTGCCGTTGTTTTTCTTTTAACAAAAAGATACAATATGCATTAGCAAATTTAACACTTTAAAAATGTTGCATTTAATACATGAAAAGAGCCATATCAAGGGCAATTAAAAAATTTAATTAAACAAATGGTTTAAAAAAATATATATATATTAGGTGTTAGAAATATATACAAAACTATAATAAAAAAAACAAATAAAATTGTTAGAATAAATTTCCACATGTTGTATGTATGTGTGTGGGTGGATGGATGGATGGATGATTCTAAATTAATTTAACAATTCAATTGGAAAATTATAATAAAATAGAAAATATTCAAAATACAATGCAATTTCATTCCGATTTAGAAAAGAAAACAATATATAACATACCCATAAACTTTTCCTTAGAATAATATTCAAAATAAAATTTTTCACGTAATTTATTTGTATCATTGCGCCAATTAAAATCGCGTAATTTTTGCATAAAACCTGGTTCTTTATTTAAAGGTTTTACAGTGGTTTCATAAGCCGGTGCCAATAGTTCTGATTCTCCGGGATATAGGGACAATTTAACCGGTGTTGCCGGGTCTCGATCAATCGGTTCTAATGGTGCGTTTGGGTCCATGTGTGTGTTGTTTGATGAGTGGGGTGATTGTAATGATTGTTTATGATTCGCTGTAAATGGAGAAAATGAGAAGAATAATGGAAAATGATAGTTAATTAAAACAAAAAAGAACAGACAGGACACAAATGAATGCTAAGATTAAGAAAGTCAAATGTTTCGTTTTTTTTTTTTTTTTTTGGTTAAGAAGTGTTAAGTTTGAATATTGAAAATTAAAAATAAGCTTAAAACTCATACTCATGCTACAATTTTAAATTTAAAAACTCAAAATTTGATTTAAATTTTGTTTTACAAATTAAATTTATAATTGTATGATAAGTAAAGTGTAATATGCTGAAATGATTATGATTAAAATGACCAAGACAGTATAGATGAACATATGTATATGAATTTCAAAAATAATAATGAAAGTCATGATATGATGTGATTCCTTTTACAGTAATCATCAGATCAGATTCGGTTTTATAAAAGTAGATTTTGAAATATTATTTATTAGGCATATTTTTATTTAATTTTTAACGATCTAATTTCCAGAATTTTTATATAAAAATATGAACAACGGGTCAAAGTTAGTTTTTAACACAAAAAAATCTTACAATCTCCTATTCCATTTTCTCCTGTCATATTCAGGACTGAACTAGACCATAGACTAGACTGCAGGCTAGACTACAATGTGGTTTATTAGCTAGAGTATAGACTAGACAGAAGGCTAGAATTTAGATCAGACTATGGGCTAGACTATAGACTAGGCTATAAGCCAGACTGTAGACTAGACAATGGAATAGACTATTGGTTGGATTATAGACTATACGATTGACAAGACTATAGACCACACTATAGATTACAATATACATAGACTAGACTATAGAATACACTATACACTAGACTATAGAATGGACATTACACCAGACAGTTATAAGCAAGAATATAGACTAGACAATAGGTAGATATAGGCTGGACTATAGACTAGACTATAGACAAGACTATAGACTATACTATGGACTAGATTATAGACAAGACTATAGACTATACTATGGACTAGATTATAGACTAGACTATAGACTAGACTATAGACTAGACTATAGACTAGACAATAGACTAGACTATAGACTAGACTAGACTAGACTATAGACTATAGACTAGACTATAGACTAGACTATAGACTAGACTATAGACTAGACTATAGACTAGACTATAGACTAGACTATAGACTAGACTATAGACTAGACTATAGACTAGACTATAGACTAGACTATAGACTAGACTATAGACTAGACTATAGACTAGACTATAGACTAGACTATAGACTAGACTATATAGACTAGACTATAGACTAGACTATAGACTAGACTATAGACTAGACTATAGACTAGACTATAGACTAGACTATAGACTAGACTATAGACTAGACTATAGACTAGACTATAGACTAGACTATAGACTAGACTATAGACTAGACTATAGACTAGACTATAGACTAGACTATAGACTAGACTATAGACTAGACTATAGACTAGACTATAGACTAGACTATAGACTAGACTATAGACTAGACTATAGACTAGACTATAGACTAGACTATAGACTAGACTATAGACTAGACTATAGACTACACTATAGACTAGACTATAGACTAAACTATAGACTAGACTATAGGCTAGACTAAGACTAGACTATAACCTAGGTTATACACAAGACTATATTACACACTAGACTATGGACTAGACTGTAGAGTAGACTATTGACTAGACTATAAAGTAGACTATAAACTATGTCATTGATATCAGCAAACCTTTAATTTTTTTTTATCACTTTCGTAAACTGTGATATGCCTTAATAAACATTTCAAGCGATTTTTTCTCTCTATTGCCTATTTTCGATATTTGAAATCTAATATTATTTGTAAACGCTTTGTAGGCACTTAAAATCAATTATATTTTTTATTTTATCAATGTCTGGCTTGAAATTGCTATTTGAAATTGTCATAAACAAATAAACAAAACAGCTTTAAATAAACTAATAATTAAATTTAAAACTTTGTTTATTTGAAAATAAATGCTTACAACACAGTTCTTGTTCGAATACAACAAAGTCTATTGTTTTACTTAAGAGTTACAAAAATGTGTCACTTTTTAAAAATTAGACAAAAAAAATTAAATTTAATAGTTTTTAAAAAAATTACATCATGCATTCCTATTGTAGTTAAAGAAAACTTCTTTAGAAAGTGGTGTTTTAATTTAGCGACTGTTAATATTATCTCCCAAGAGTTTATAATTTATTTAGAAATTTCGTATTTCATGTATGAACATCCTGTAAAATACTGCCTTGGAAACTAAAATATCTTTCTAACAACATTTTCCAAAGAAAAAATATTCCCACTTCAGCTGAATTAAAAATTTATGGCAAATAAAAAAATAATATTTTTCTACTAAATTCACTTTAATTTCAATTTCGATTCATTTCATTATTAGTTCAATGAACTTGTGCTAAATTTAGCCACCACACAATAGTTTACTTTTATACATTTTTTTTTTGTATTTGCAAAAAATGTATCTATTTATTTCTCTAAACCCTCGCACTGAAATTTACTTTGAAAAAAAAACGCATTTTTTCTAAAGAGTATTTTCTTTGGCGTTCATTTGAAATATGTTTTGTTTGCAAAGGCGCCAACAGCATTACAACTGAAGAGAATTAAAAGTTTTTGTTGTTGCTATTACTAAATTAAATGCATTTTTTACAATTTAAAACACCAACATCTAAAAAAATCGCGTATAAAATCGTTAATGAGCCGTGACGTTTTAGAACATGAAATTCAATTTAAAAATCATGTGAACGCGACACGCGTTAATGCATTTAATAGCTAGATGATCTGTTGTTAATTCCTTACACTATTGTTGTTGTTGTTTGAGTCATTTTTCGTAAAAGATCAATTTTCAATTAGTGAGTTTCTATCAGACCTGGGCGATTTCCATTAATTTTGCATTAACATTAAATTAAAAAAAAATTAATTTAATGTAAAAAATATTGCATTAACATTAAATTTTTAAAATTTAATGCATTAAATTTCCATTAACATTAAATATTATTGAATTTAATGCATTAATTTTACATTAACATTAAATATTTTTCAAATTAATGCATTAATTTTGCATTAACATTAAATATATCTGAATTTAGTGCATTAATTTTACATTAACATTAAATAAGCAATAAAATTAATGCATTAATATTCCATTAACATTAATATATGTATATAAAAATTGATAAACATAAATAAAAATACAGATCAAAAGACCTCGATCTAACTAAACAACTAAAATTAAATAGGTTAAAGTCCTTTCTAATAACTCCTATATTCCATTCAAACTTGTGTGTTTTAAATATGATATTTATATAAGATTCCACAGACAAAATAAACTAAAAAAGGAATATCTGGGAAGTGATATTATTCTTCTAATATGTATTATCGAGTATAGGACTTATTAGAAAGAACTTTAACAAAATAAACTAAAAATGGAATATCTGGGAAGTGATACTATTCTTCTAATATGTATTATCGAGTATAGGACTTATTAGAAAGGACTTTAGCACATTCAATTTTACTTGAATTTTGTTAGACCGAGGTCTTTAGCGCTGTATTCTTATTTTTATAAATTATTTTATACATTAATGTTAATGGAAAATTAATGCATTAAATTTATTATTTATTATTTAATGTTAATGGAAAATTAATGCATTAAATTCAAAAATATTTAATGTTAATGCAAAATTAATGCATTAATTTCACAAATATTTAATGTTAATGTAAAATTAATGCATTAAATTTAAAAATATTTAATGTTAATGCAAATTTAATGCATTAAATGTACCCATGTTAATGTTAATGCAATAAACTTGCATTAACATTAATTTTTTTTAATGTAGAAAAAATTGTTAATGCATTAACACATTTAATGCATTTATCCCAGGTCTGGTTTCTATAGTTTGAGTATTTGTTTATATTGTGGTTAAATTACTTTTTGTTTAAAATAGTTTTATTTTTTGTTTATTTTTGATTGACATTGCTGATGTTTTTAGTTGTGTTTCCGTTTGTGTGGCAAAAATAAGTAATTTAGCGTAAAATTACTTTGTTTTTATTTATTTATCTAACAAATTGCAATTTAGCTATAAAATTCCATTGCAAAGCTACAATATGTGTGGTCTTTGGTGATTTAATTTAGCTTGCAAGTGCTTCAAAAATGCTACACAGAAAAAAATCCCGAATCAAACCCATTTTGTGATTAAAGCAATCTTTTACGTTCTTAAATCAATCTTATTTTTGTCACAACTATACCTTAAATCAAAACAAAAATTCTCAAAATAATTGCATCGAAATACCACTTTGACCCGAAAAGGATTAAATTAGGATTATAATAGTTAATCGATCTATACTTGAACCAAGCATTTTGTACTTTATTTAAGGAATTCCAAGAAAATAATTTGATTTTGGACAATAGAATTATATCTGCCTATGAAAAAGAGACATATACCCACCATCATAATATGTTTTATGAAATTGAAATGAGTTTCGGAAGTTGGCGCGAATTTTGGAATTTATCACCTTTATTACCGATTTACGTATATTTTACATTTAGTAATATGAACCAGGTGATTTTTGGAATAGGGCTCCTAATAAGTTCTTTAGCAAGAGGGCTAATATGTGAGTAGGGTCCACATGGAACTTTGTAGAGATATTTTGGTTCTCATAAAGCTTGCTTGTGCTCCTTTCGTTAGGACCCTATTTTGCTTTCAATAGACTGACTGATCAAGGCAAGTTCTTCAAAGAACAAAGACTAAACTATAGACTAGACTATAGACTAGACTATAGACTAGACTATAGACTAGTCTATAGACTTGACTATAGACATGACAATGATACTAGACTATAGACTAGCTATAGATTAGGGACTATAGCCAGACTATAGACCGACTAAGACTAGACTATAGGAACTAGACTATAGACTAGACTATAGACTAGGACTATAGACTCGGACTATAGACTAGGACTATATGA